AATTCTTTCAAAGGTTTAAATTTGAGAAATTTCTGTTCTACATTTTTCTCTAAATTAATTCATAAAAATCAACGATTTCATAAAGGAAAATTTATTTCTTATTTTCTAATTATTTAATTATAACTTTGTATACTTTGTAGTATTAAAATTAGCTGCAAAAATGATAAAAAAATCCAAAACATTCTCCAAAAATTAGTATAATACCTCACACACATTAAGAACATCAAAAACCCAAGCTAAGAGGCCGAATACCACTGTTTGGTCTCCAAACCAAATAAGAACCGCGGGCACTTATCGGAGTCATGCACAAAAATGAAGGAACAAATCGCGGAACATTCGCTTTGACATTTCGTTCTGCGATTTACAGTCCTCGCATCGTTTTTCTTTTGAGGAGAACCGCGCAAGATTGCTCGACAACCAAAAAATGCATTGGCTTGGGGAATGCGCGGTCCTTTGATGCATTGTGCACTCCGCACCAACAATGGAGACGTACGCCGCGGAGTGGTCGGACGTCTATCGTCTCGGACAGAAACCGAGAATGCCCTTAAAAGCCGTCCGCCGACCTTCTGCCGCCCCCGCGGAGAGAACGGTTACGTTTCGAAGGATTATACGTATCCTCTTGGGTCTTTCAATGGAGATTTGGTAGTCGATTGACCGGTCTCTGGACGTTCTTGGCGTGCCAAGATAAGGAGCAACACGCGGTCCTTGGTCTGATACTCGCTGCTTCAGATTATTGCTTTGCGCTCGGGATATTCGGTGTACAGGCCTCGACGCTCATGTTTGCGTGTCTCACCTTGATTGGATCTCGGCGGGCTGCTAGTGTGTATTACGTCTATTCAATGGTTCGATCTAACTCCTTCCATTGCTGATTATTTGAGGACTGTTTTGCGTGGTAGGCGACTTGACGCTAGAACTACCGAGCAGTCAAACTGACTTCTTTTTATTCTTTTGAAGATATGATAAGAGTGTGTTTATTGAGATTTTCATTGGCTGATACTTTAGTTCATGCGTTACCAAATCAAGTTATTTATTCATTTTTCGGAGAAAAGCTTGTATCTCAATAATTGTGATAGAAGAAATTTGGGACAGGTCAGTTTGATCTGTCTGGTAGCTGTAGTGTTAACTTTCTTTGGGCTCGTAGAGCAATGGATAGTTTAGGAACTTACGCTTTTGTTAGTGAAGTAATTGGTTACTGGTAGAATAGAGATTTTTGTGCGTTTATAGGGAATTTAGGAGCAGAAAGTTGGTTGGAATGTACTTCGTACATTTGAATTTTAAAAGAACATTTATAATATTTATGGGATCTTTTTATTCTGAACTGTCAAGAACTAGTTACTAAAAGAAAAGTCCAATTGTGATCTAGTGTGATTAAAAAAAGGTTGCATGGAAAAAGTTAAAATTATTATCCGTTGTTATAAAAACCAGTTACATAGAAAAAGTTCCATTGTGGTTCTTCGCAAATATGCAAAGTTCTAAATAAAATTAGAATCTATCGACACACGAAACCAGTTTATTAAGCATTCAAAAGAAATATTATTCTTTTTTTTATTTCTTATACTTGTTCCTATAAATATACTCACAGTTTCATGCGTATAAGACGATCTTATTCCGAGATAAATTGTCGGTAGAATGGCGCTTAATTATTTAAGAAAACTTTCGGGACGAAGAAGTTGTTCTACGGCGTAAAGTTGGAGGAAGGAATTAACACCGGAAGGAGCAAGATTCACAAACGTTTAATTAGTAAGTTGTACTCACCGACGTCGAAACCATTCGTCGCGTCCCCCTGCGGCGTAAGAGGGAAACGATAGCGGTGTTCATTGGCTTCCAAATGTCGGACGCAGCCCTTAAATCCGGTTCTCACCGGAAGTCGCTCGAGGCCGGTTGTGTTTCCGGGACCACCGACGAACAGCGGCTCACGGAAGGTAATCCTCGCAAACAAGCCCTGCAATCAAATCCAAAAGTGTCCGGTTTACGTAACTAGGCAAACCTTTCGCAGAATTCTCTATAGCGGCCACTCTTGTGCTCTTAGCTACAGATTTTGAAGTAATATTCGTATCTTGACCATCGAAACGTGTAATTGCTTCCAGGGGTAAAAACATAAAAATTTACTGATACTTGAGAATTAATCCTGAGAATTCCAGATAAAATTTATGTAAGGAAAACAGGTATTTATTGTTTATATTTTGTTTAGAAAATAATATGATTATTGAATCATATTAAAATTTTGAAGAAAATAAAGGTTATATATTGATGTTTGTTTTGTTTTGTTATAATATGGCTTATATCTCATAATTAATTATGTATCCAGAAATTAATTACACAGTATTAACCCTTAACGGACCAATATAAGCAGCATGGCACTTTTACTTACTGGTGACAAAATAATTTTATTATTTTTATCACTGTTATTATAGTAATATTTACAATTAACACGTTCAGTATTGTGTTAGGTCACTTCTGTAAATTTGTTTCCACTTGTTACCTATGTTACGGTATTTTTTGGCGGCAAGTAAACTTGAAATACTTCTGGTCCGTTAAGGGTTAATTAGTGCTTTTCTACACAGTATTATTTAATAAAGGTACATAACTGTTAACCCCTTAGCTGTCAATCCCGTTACACATACATACAGGCACGATGAATTCTCGAAAACTTGATTTTCGTTATTTTAATGACTAAGAATCTTATGTTCAAATTATGGAATATAAGAAGGTCTTTTTAGTACCTCAAAACCCTCCCTTAATAATCCAAAAAAGTTTAGTTCCGTATTAGCAATACTCAGCCGAAAATAAATCGTGAAAATTGCTTACTTTTGCAGATTGTTTACTTTACTGGGAATTAATTCAGAGATTTGGCAAAGCCTTGCGCAAAGAATTTTCTTGTTATCTATTTTACGCCGCCATGTACGCCAATTTTGTTTATTAACACTAGGTTTACGGTGCGTATCAATTTGACGCGTATTGAATTTTATAAACACTATTTAGTATATGTTTACGTTGACTTTGTTTCATGCAATTATACCAATATGTTCTACAATTATGTATTTTTAAACCTCTAACTTACAAAATCCGAATGAACGAACATGAATTTTTCTAGGAGCAGTAGAATAAACCGTAACGTGCAATAAACCTAGTGTTAGTAATTTTGTATAGAGTGATACATTTCAAAAGAATCTAGTGTGTGTAATGTAACAAGATTATCGATGCATATAAGACGATATTGGAAATTTTTGAACAAAAACATCTCAACGTGCGTGGTACGCTTTTTCAGTGCAAGAGGTTAATACAAACATCTGTTCCGTTTGAGGCAAGATATCGCGTGAACCGCAGATTACAGTACTCGGTTGTACGACAAGGAAATTATTTTCGGAGCGAGTAATTACGAAGGAATTCCACATCCATCGATTCGCTGGTTCGGCATTTACAAGAGCTGAGCACTTGATTTTGCAATAACTCGACGTACTTTCGCGGTTAACTGTTTCTAATAAAATTCATGCGCGGCTCGTTACGCGGCTCGTTGCGCGTCTCGACGAATCACGCAATAAATGCCGCTGTCACGGTTACGCTTTGCGTCGAGTGTTTCTGATCGAGCGAAATAATCGCTCGTAACCGAATAACGCAGCGAGTCGCTTTGCGATCCCCAATTTTGTCAATTATTCGCTGCCGTTTGTAAGTATATACACCGCCGAAAGCGAAATTGTCCGAAATTGGCGCACATCAAATTCGCCGTGGCGATTCGAAGAAGATGATCGTAAATTTGGTATAAAGATTGCTGTGCGAAGAGTTCAAAAGCGTCAAGCTTTCAGAATTCAGAAGATTTAAGAATCAAAAGTTCAAAAATTCAACACTTTAAGTACTATAAAATTAAGATAACTGTAAAAGTTAAAATCATTCAGTTTTATTGTTAAATAGAATGGAGATTTCTTCATTTTCTGCTTTACTTTTATTGAGTAGCAGTTTCGTGAATTTCGTTACATTTTCAATTTAGTAACAGTATGAGTGTGACATACATCTTTGAAGATAAGAAATAATTCTATTGGCAATTCCTTTCTGAAATCTAAACAAAATGGGGATTGTACTCTAAAACAAAATAGCGTCCGAAGATTACCTTACCTCCATTGCGAATTAAAATATCTCAATATTTTTAAAATAATCAAGTTTGTTTAAAACAAGAATATTAAGTGCAATAATATAAAATGTTTTGCAAGAGTTCACACACATTCTGCGGATTGGAATAATTATGATAATATTCCCATTTTCACCTCGCAGATGTTAGATATTCCGTATCACTACGCAACATTCAGGTGGGATTGACGCGGATGTAGAATGCAGTCGGAGATGGTAGCAATTTATACGAATTATGCATCCCGAGGTAGCCCATATTTGCTGAGGCAACGTCTCAGTATAGTGACAAGAGTTCCTTATACCCGCGTTTCAACGGTGTTCGTTTATATATAGTCGCTCATGAAAGTATTTGCCCGCTTCTTTAATACATTAATATTAAAGAATAATGTATTTGAAATAATATTTCGATATTATATTCTACACCATTAATCATTAAAGTTAATGATATTCTAAACCATGTATTTAAAATATATTTAAAATATATATTAGTTACAGGATATAATTTACATGGTACTAAATTTTAATTCGTATATTTTCAGTTGGAACAACTATATACATTCAATTAAGAAACTACATACATTTTGCCAGAAAAGTATCAACCCTCTTACGCTTGTCAAATTACCACTTGACTACGTCAAATTAATATTATATAATAAAATTTTAAAATGTTACTAAAAGTGTAAAAACACTTTTGACATGTAACAATACGTTCATAATATTCTCAAATTTAAACATACTCTGGACAAAGCGAGAACAGGATTAATTGGATATTGATTAAACAAATAAAACGGCGCAATAACAATTAGAACGTGATTGGGTTAAAAATGCAGCATGGTTAATTTTACTCATTTCAATTTATATCAATTACATTCAGTTAATTTATTTATTATTCAATATATTCTCTAAAGCTTTCATTGCAAGCAGCCTTTAGTCATACGTAAAACAGATCAAACTTCTACTTTTAACATCTTAAAAAACATGTAAAGTACAAATGAAATAAATGCTATTTAATAAAAATTAATATTTATATATTAATATGCTTTTTCTACTATAATTACTTCGAGTTGTTGGTAATGTCAGTGAAAAAAGCTTCAACTACAAAGGGTTAACACGTTGAATGCTATGGGGGTCATCGGTGACTCCCCTCCAAATCGAATTACTATAATTCAGTCCATTAAATAATGATTATTTTCAAATATTTTTATATTATAAATAAATACGCCTACCTAATATGTTGTTATTCCGCAAGGTAAACGTGCAGTAAGAATAAAACCATTCGATGAAGTAATTTGATATTATATGTTTTCCAGTTTGTGTATTTTGCTACGTAAAACTGGTTATTAAGTTACAATAATATCATACATGTAGACAAATAGGCGCATGCTTTCGCGAGCAACTGTAGGAGAATGCCGTCGACGATTCCACAGTGTTCAAGTTAATGCACTTACAAAAGTCTCGAAACTTTCTCCGCGGTGCATCGACCGAGGAATTATCTTTTGCCCTCCGCCCTCGCATCACACATCGGAAGGCTGTTAAACTTCCGTCGCGAGACCTATCGACGTAGCGATCGGTACGGAAAAATGTCGGCGCTCGCGAAGATATTGGGTTGATTTAAAAGTTCGCGCACTTCTCAGATGCGATTTGAACTTCGTGCGTTCCCTGAGAAAATAAGTGGCGAAATGTCGACAAGGAAAACATGAAATTCGCGTTCATAGAAAATTGCGAGTGTTTCTTTTATAGATAAATGAGGAGCAACATCTTGTGAGTAGATTTTTCTCGGAGCGAATTTGCAAAGGAATTTGGTAATCATGTAGAATTTCTTTTCCGCATTCTTGTGTAAAATTAGAAACTATTGCGAACTGATAAATTGCATGAAAAATATTCCGGAGATTCAAATCTTGGCACAATTTATTTATAGTTAACACTAAAGCTACCAGATGGATCAAAATGATCCATTTCTGTTTTTTTCTTTTTGCATTTATTAAAAGATGACAGATATTTCCCTGGGATATTATTCAAGAAATTAATTCAGCAATACGCAAACTGAATTGTAAATCAATTGAAGTTTCGATAAATGCTCCTTTGAAGTTGCTATAGAGAAATTTCGAAAAGTTAATTCAACTGCTCGGTAGGTTTAGTGTTAATGTGGATTTTTATATGCCGTCATTGTTTCGAATAATCGTACAATTTCGTTTACTGTATTCTAATTGTATGAATTAGTTAATTAAATCATAATTTTTATTATTTTCAATGACTTTCGTGTTTTATATGTATTATTATATATTGCTTATAATTGTTTCATATTTTTATTTTAGTTTATTAAGAATTGATTGAAATGTATCCATCACAAATGGATTAAGATTTTTGCAATCCCAGATTCACCTAAGTATCAATCAATAATGTTACATTTCAAGATTCAGTATAAAATCTTATTACGGATCTAATTTATTTTCTGAAACATAAATCGACACAGAAATCGTATAACAGAAAGTCGACACTCCTTTCCCAGTGATTCAATAATTTTAACCGAGAATCTGCGCCCGGCGTTCCGATAATGACAGTTATCGAGCTTCTTCAAGAGCTTTTTTATTTCGCTTTGGTTTTCGGTTAACGGCGGCGAAGTCGAGCAAGATTTTCGCACGTAATTTTTCTTCGTCACGGTATTTTCCGACTTTTTTTCCTACTTTCAATTAGTAGGTATCTCGAAATTGGAAGATTTCCTTGGGAAATAAAAAAACCCAACTCTGCCGCGGGAAATATTATATTTGCCGGGCTCGAGAGATTAAACAGAAATTGATTCAATTTTCGACGATAATAATT